CCTTGAAAGTAGAGAAGTAGGACAAAAATCAGTCAGGGAAAAAAACCCTTATGTTTATTGTTTTTTTTTTTTTTTAACACTCCCCCAAAACCCTTATGTTTATTAAAGAATATTTGTACTCTACTTACATCATTTGAAATTCTCTTCTTTTTGGAATGTAAGTACATTTGATTAGTGAAAACTTTTCAGGGCTAAACAATGTGCTTTTTTATTGAAAACAAAGAATACCTTCTGATCTTTATTAATGTGTATGTGTATATTTAGCAAAAACTTTTCAGCCTAGAACAATGAGTTTTCTTCATTGGTAGTAAGAAATGCAGAAAAAAAAAATCCAAGTCTCAGCTTTTAACATGAATCTATTGGAATGATTAAAAATATATAAGGTAAGGCAGGACACAGGAACCAGAAGAAATATAGATAGAATTGTAAACTATTATGTAATTCTGATGCTTGATTTTCGGGTAAAAAGTACATTTCAGACATATTACAGTAAGGGTAGCGAGATACTTATTTATATATTTACTTATTCAACAAATACTGGTTTCACCAACAATGTGCTAGGTGAATTCTGAGCTTTAACCCCAAATTTCGGGGGTTAAATTTGGATTTATTTTAGATTTGAGTTGGACCTTTCACATTACCATAAAGTGATGCTGTTTGTTTCTAACTGATGGATTCTTTCATGTGGTGAGTTTTAGTAAAATCTCTCTATGTCAGCATGAAAATAAAAAATTAGGAAACCATTTCCTGGTTTTTTAAATTTGTTTTATAGGAAATAATTGCTGTTTCTTTGTTATTTATAGAATGTTACTATCCACAGTGAATTTTTTGATATATATGGATAATAGCATCTCTAACCAAGATAATGTTAGTTGTGTGTTTCAACTGATACCAAAATTCAAAAGCAAATTTACTGTGTAACGAGAACGTTTACTTTGTCATCAGCAAGAGTGAGCAAGCATAATGCATGGGCTTCCATCTTAACAATGCTGTTCTGTTTCCATTTCAGTGCCTTGTACTCACCAGTCGATCCTGGCTGAAGAAGTGTGGTTACTATAAGATTATCTTAATTTCTTTCTACCTAGAAGGAACAGCTTCCATTGTCATGTTACTTCTGGGACAGCAATACTATTACTGTTTCGCTCTTTATCTCACTTTTATCATGTAAGTAAATGCCAGTTCCAATCTTAGAATCACACTGTGTCTTGCTATTCACTCTTCAAGTGGTAAAACATCTTTGATCTGAAGTGAATTTAATATTCATTTCTAGGCAGGGTCATCGCACCTTTCTGCCAAATTGTCTGAAAGTTACCTACCAGCTTGCTTTTTAAAAGAAATTTCATACACTGAATTTTGGAGTACAGTTCCTTTTTTTAGCCTATTAAACTGTAAGGTTTAGTAAATCCCTGTTGCCGGTATAAAAGAGGCTGTGCTTCTGTTCTTCCTTCAACTCTTCTTCCTATTCCTGCAAGCTCTCTCCTCCTCTTCCTCTCCAAGCACCCACTCCTCCCCTGCCATAGGCATCTCAAATCCAGAATGTTCAAATCAAGGATCTCACCCCTCAGATCTGCTCTTTTGCCATTGTTTACCATCTTGTGAAATGGTTCTGCCATCTCTCTAGTTGCCCAAGTCAGGGACTGAGAAGTTGTCTTTGCCTTCTCTCTCTTCTTGACACCTACATCCAACGCACTACAAATTATTAGCAGTCTTATCTTCCTAATGTGTCCTGAATCCATGCCTTCTCTGTCCCATTGCCATTCCTGCAGCTCAGGTCCTCATGTCTCTTACATGGACTTATATGGCCTCCTCTATGGTCTCCTTGTCTCTCTACTCTGCAGTCCCTCCAACCCCTTCTCCCATATTGCTTCTAGAATGACATGTCATTCCTTTGCTTAACAATCTTAAGTGGCTTCTCATTGCTTTCAGGATATATTCAAATGATGACATGTGATGTTTTTTGTTATGTAGGCCCTCTTTCCCTCGTCATCTCATTTCTTGTTACTCAATCACTGACACTGTACTCTCTGCCATACAGAAGGACTTTGCAACTCCTGGTTCAGACACCTCTGTGTTTAGCAGATTCAGTTCCTTGTGCCTGGAAAGCTCTTCCCCATTTCCTGCTTGGCTCTCTCTTAGTGTTTCTTAGGCTGCAGCTTGGGTATGTGCTTCTGTGGGAGGCCTTCCTTGATTTCCTTATCTGGATTGGGTGCTCCTCCTACATGACCCCAATACCCTAAGCTCATCTCTGCTACAATGCTTGTGCCTCTCTACTTGTGATTGTCTGTGGTCCCCCCTGGATTGAGTTTATTGTGCATAAGTCTAGTTTCTTATCACTGTGGCCCGTTACCTACTGCAGCTCTTTTTTTTTTTTCAGACAGAGTCTTGCTCTGTTGCCCGGGCTAGAGTGCCGTGGCGTCAGCCTAG